GTCAGTAGATATAGTAAGGTTAGCTGTGACATTTAGACGCTGCTAAGCTGGCACTGACCGACACAAAGATGGCTTTTCATCTTACTGTTGCAGCAGAAACTAAGACTCATCAGAACCTTCTTCAATCGTCAGTTATTCAATTTACCCCCCAATTTACCCGTCATTTCCATCTATCCATCCTTACCTGCTGGTGTAATTCATCAGTGTTTGTTTGTTTGTTTTTAAATAATGACCTCATGTCCCTTTCAGAGCTGCTGAAATTAGATTTAACTTAACCAGGCTTTCTTACTCATTGTCTCCGTGCTGAACATCTTTTAGGAAACTCAAGGAGACATGGGTCAATTATTCGATATGGAATAATGTGGATTTGTGGATTTCACAGACAGTGACTGTGTGGTTTAAAAAAAAGAATTTAAATTTCACTGCCTCACAGTTTACATTTGAAGCAGCCCCCCCACCCCCTTCATTTCTTATGTCCTCTCTTTCTGTTACTGTTTTCCTCTCTGTTTGTCTTCAGTTCCTCCTCCACCCCTCCTCCCCATCCTTTCCCCACTAAGCTCGTGCGGGGAAAGCTCTTTCCCCCGCTCTTTGTTTCCCTTTTCCCCTCAGCCTCACTGCTCTTTTGTCGCTACCGCAGCTCAGTAGATGAGAAAAAAGTAAGAAAAAAAAAAAGAAAAGAAGAAAGAAACAGGAAAAAAAGCCCAGCTTAGCTATAGCCAGTTGCTTTCTGCCTCCTCCTCTTCCTTCTGTTTCTCCTCCCCTTTGCCTTTTATTCTCCACTCTCATCACTGCAAATCAAACACAACACACCCCTCTGTGCTCAAACCCCTCCGTCTCCTCTCCTTCTGAAAGCATCGGCTCTCCAAAGGCAAACCCTCTACATGAACGCGGGGACGCTCTGCGTATGAGCCGACACTCGCTCCGGCCCAAAGACACCTGACTCTGCTACACTTCCACCTCCTCTCTGTTGGTCTTTGTTCTTTAAACCTGGCAGTCGGACTGGAATACAAACCCATCCTGACACCACAGGCAGTTGAATCTCTTGCTGCTTCTCTTTCTTGCCTCTTGTCGATGCCACACCCTGGGCTTTTTTAGGTTCTTGTTGTTTTTGAGAGCTTATGCCACAGGTAATCATGTGCATCTGAGAAGAACCTCCTCCTAAAGATGAAGAAAATCTGGTCCAAGAAGAGGTTTCAGGTGAGGCTAGGAAACCAAAACAACCATGTAGTGATAATTCTTTTGTGTTTTCTGAACAAGATTTGGTTGTTGTAAAAATTATAGATGTGTTGCCATACCCTTTACCTGCCGTGATGGCCTAATTTGACACAAAGAAACAAAGTCAGATTTCAAGATAAAGACGACTCTCAGATGCTGTGTGTAGAAAGTGTGTCAGTAGGCTAAACGTGGACACATGGGAATCGGGCACAGAGCAACGAAAAGAGACAATTTTCCTCTCCTGAGATGTGTCCTGCAGCTTCCAGCAGCACATTTCAACAGAATTCTAGATTCTTAGATTTGGATTTTTAAGTGATTGAGTCAGCGTGGGTTTGGGTGTCTTCACTGCTCTGATTTCCCCTGAGCCTGACACAATTTGACAGCACTGTCAAACTACCTGTGTGTGTGTGTGTGTGTGATTGTGCGTGTGTGTGTATAGGAGATTGTAAGACGGTTAAGATAGGTGTGAAAAACTGAGTCAATTCACTTATCACTTTCCAATTAACTGCAAAGACACCAGTGAGTCATTCCAGAGGAGCTCTCCTTGGTGCTGATTGACAGAGTGCCCTACAAGCAGTTTCTTTCAATTAATGCTTCATCAGCAGAGACTAAAACTCAAAATGGACTGGTTTATTTAAAAAACAAAACTAAGAGCTAACATGTTGATAATAAAAAAAATCCATATATATTTTATCTAATGGCAGATGCGTTGTTAAATTAGTAAAGTACAAACATGGAAGAAATTACTTAAAGTAGGGCCTGTTAACAAAACATGCTTTTTCAGATATGTATGAAAAATTGCTAAGATATTGTAGCAAATTTGACATAATCAACTGGGGGGAAAAAACATACAAACAAATAAGTCAATAATGATTTACTCAGAAGCACCAAGATATGCATGAATTATGTTAAACCATTAACCTTTAAAACATTTTCCAGATATTCAGTCAAATTCTGGTTGATATAAATGGAGCATAAATTATGTAAAACACCTATGATATCGACTCCTTGGAAATAGCCAGGAATTAGCTACAGGGTATGAAAAGTAAACAAAAAGAAGTTGGACCTGAAATTGACAGTTTGGATGAAATAATCCGTAGAATAATTTATTTTAGTTACAACAGATATTGTATTATTATTATTATTATTATTTATAAAAAAAAAACACCCCCCCCCCCCCCCCCCACTAATATTCTCTCTGTATTTCTCTCTCCGTGCTCCTTTGTTGCTGCTGAATAACACACTGCACTTTGTGTCTTGTTTCAGAGAACGGGACATTCCACACGGACATTTGGCAGATTTACCCATGGTGTGTTGTCAGCAAGAGCTTTACTCTGTTGTAATCATTTTATGCCTTATTCTCTAAGAAATCCTTAGTCAAGTAGTTATCGACTCTTATTGTAGTGTTTTGTATTTTCTCGTTTTTCTGTTCCTTCGTTCCACCGCACGTTCTTGGCTAGGATGTTCCACTTGAATAACTTTTCGTAGCATATATTCAGCTATGGGTGTATTTACGTTTTCCTTCTGCTCAGCTGCTCGCAAGAGTAGGTTTTATTGATGGACATCCACCTCCACATGTATTTTGTAAAAATTCTGTTGCTTCTCTGCTTGGGCCTGGGTGAATAATTTTTGGCGTCAGTGGTTTGGAACGTTCAGCCACAGTGGATTCTCAATCAGATACAAATTGTGCTGTAATTGGATGCATGTCATGTGCAGTGACTTGACTCATAATAGGGAACTTCTATTACACCTGCAACCTTGTTTATGGTTTAAAATACTTTTCAATAAAATTCCTTTAAATTAGTAGGAAACAACATGACAAACAAATATTTTAATATTTGGCCCAAATCCAGAAAACCCAGAAAAACCACCACAAACCTCCTCTAACAGTAGAATACCAAAAGAAGAAAAATGAGATACAAAATATGGTCTATTACAAAGACCTAATGTTCCAGGTGACATTAATAGTCCAGACTTACTAGTCCTTGAAGCTGCCCCCGTTCACTGTATGGCCCAAACCCAGAAAAACCACCACAAACCTCCTCTAACAGTAGAATACCAAAAGTCCTTGAAGCTGCCCCCGTTCACTGTGGTGATGGGTTAAAAGCAGAGGTCACATTTGGTTGTGGTGAGTTGTGTCACAATGACAATCACAATTCTAAGAAATACTCAATACTGAAATGAAGCCAAAACATGAATGAATGAAATGTAACTGAACTGTAGCAATAGAAGTAAAAAAGCTATGTTGATTATTGTAAAATAAATAAAAGCAAAGCAAAAATGTTAGCATATAAAAAGAGTCAGAGTCTAGAAATTGTTCAAAATACAACAAAAATCAAACTGAATCAAATCTGTCTAGCTAGCTTTACTGCAGCCTAGAGGATAACTGGCTGGAAAATAGGTAATAGACAACTGAGTATTATAGTGGAAATATCCAAACATTAGCAACATTTACAGCAAACAAGACTGAACTCCATTTTATTATTTCTGGAAATATAGCACAGGAAAAAGTAACCTCGAATCAAGTTTCATAAAAGGTTCGTAAATTCAGCCAAATCCTAAATAGAACCTACAACAAAAGTCAAGGAACAACTGAATAGGTTTAAAAGTTTTTGTAATTTAGATGAAATAGACAAAATTTATTTCAAAGTAGCTAACCCTACTTAAAATTAGGCTGAAAATACCATTTACAATTTACCAATATTATTATATTTGAATTTTTTTGCTTATATTTGAAGAGCACATTAAACATTTAGAACCTGACTTGATTGAAGGTGTGAGATCTTTCTGTCTAAATGTTCTTCTCCTCCACGCGCCCTCCTCTAACCCATCTTGTGTCCGTCCACCTGACCAGCCACTGGGTTGATTTTTAGTCTCTAAATGGGTACGAAGAGGATTGGCCGTGTGGGTGACGGGGATGCTGGTTTCCATAGTAACAGTGCTCTCCCGTCTGCCCTCTCTTGCTGCCACTACGGAAGCGAAGTTTTCCGCTCCTGCCGAAAGCAAAGCTATGGTAAAAAAACAAAATCCCCCTTTATTTCTCTTCTGTCTGAAACTGTTTTTTGGTTTGTTTCTCATTCCTTTTTTCTTCATCCCTGACTTTATCTTTTCACAGTGATGATGTCACATGACCCATCCATTTTGTCAAAGTCATCCTCATTGCCAGTCATCTAACAGAAGGTGTTCTTTACGATGAGTCAAAGATTTGAAGATAGTGAAGATGTTTGGTAAAACATCAGATTTCTTAGATTATTTGAATGGTTTTTCCTCCTGGTGGTGATTAGATTATAACATTACTGATGTCATGTGTGACAGAGTTGGACTTATTTAGGCAAGTGAACTTGTACCTAACATAAACTTAAAGAGTTCACAATCTTAAATTATATATCTGTAAAATTCAAAAAGTAACTATGTAGCGTTGGACCAATCCTGCTGTTTCATTTCGAGCAGCATTTTTGCAGCCTGGAGCACAGATCATTCCTCCACTCGCTTTCCTTCACATCTTCTTTTATAAGCCACAGCTGGCTTCATGTCACACTTCAGCCTCTCCCTATTTATCCTCCACGGGAGGGGGCCCTCAACAGCTCTTTTCCGAGGCGCCATCATGCTGTGTTGCTGCTAAGCAAATGTGAAATGTCATTTACCTCGTGCGTGACCTGCTGTTGTTTCTGTCCTTGTTGTTTTCAGCCTCCTCTAAGCTTTGATTCTCTTCTTCTCCTCCACCATTATTTGTCTGCTCTGAACTCCCTCCATCTGTCTTAACCCCTGTATGCGTTTCGTTTCAGATTCTGAGGCGACAGAGGATGAGACCACGGAGCCTCAGATGGAAACCAAAGAGGGGGCCGGGAGGCACCAAGACAAGGCTGGGCAGGGCGGCCCCCCAGGTACAAAACATCTTAGTGTTTTCATTTATGACGTGACAGCTACATGTACAGTAACAAAATCCCACCAAAGTAGCAACACCATTTTAAAAATCCCATTTATACTGTTTGGTATTCAGTAGCGATTTATGCAATAAACCAAGTCTGTTATCAGTGTGGCCCAGGACGGGTGTCTGGGATGAAAGCTGATATGGCAGAAAGTTATAATCACTCACAGTATGATGCAAGAGTGTGACACACTGCCCTAGTTTCCTGCAGAGACACTGTCTCAGGTCTGGTGCCCCATGTGGTCTTTTCTACAGCGAACAAATGATCTAGAAGAAACGTGTGATTTGACTAAATTCTTCATTGACGTAACTGAGCAAAGTTATGGCTGTGTAAAGAATTACAAATCAGTCAACATTTACTGACAAGTGATGCAGCTCAAAACAAATGATAGGATCACATCAGTTTGTCTAGGTGTCTCGAATCACATATTGTAAATGTTACCCAGCCCATGTCCAGCCACACGTCTGTAGAACATCAAAAAGTACTGCATATCCAAAAATACTACTGATACTAATGCTTCTTTTATTCCCAGTTTTACAAACCCTGAGTGTGAAAAACCCAACAGTGGCTCATAGTTTGTCACTGTTGCCGACATTAGAGCAGGCATATTGTCTTCATAATGTCAACAGGAAAGCCATACCATATGGTATATATTCTAATAAAGGAGCATGTGCTTTTTGGAAGTGACTTCCTTATTACTGTGTGGGTTATTATTGGATAAAATCAGCTGGCCTTACATATACCAGTGATCTTCAACCACTGGCCCCAGGACCAGTATCGAGCCATGGATCATTTGGTACTGGACCATACACAACGAATGAAAAGACTGATTATTCTTTTTTTTTAATGTTAGTCTGCATTTATTTTATTGTGAAAACCAATCACTTATTCCTCTTTTCAGCTTTTGAATCAGTAGCAGTTTGTTTCATGCACTGGTAAACACTGAAGCTAACATGGCTGAACAGCCTCTTTAAGGAGGGGTAAAGGCCTGATGATGAGTCGGCAGAATGTTCCAATACTGCAGCCAAAGGGAAGGAAAGCTGCATTTAAAGGAAAATATCAAAAGTCAATTATGTTTTGTGAGGCACCTGACCTACCCTCATACACACACACACACACAAACACACACCTAACACTGGTGTGACAAAATTGCCTTGCATAAAACCACTAGTGGTCCAGATGGGTATTAGAGCACATCTGGCTTATTCTGGCCATCATATTTTCCAGGCTGGCTAACAGCAGCACATGTCCAGATACACTACCAGAATAAAGTAACTTAGAGTATATTACCTCTAATAATCCTATTATTAAGGAACAAATGTTTCCTTTAGAAATATTTACTGATATTTTTAAAATGTGATGTGTTTGTGCACCAGTGTCACAGAAGCTCCATGTTCTGTAAGCCCCCTCTGACCACCGTCCACTGTTAACCAGGCAACAGGTCTGAATATAGATCAGAAATATTGACACCTTCCCTTCTGCCCCCTGCGACATTTCAGAGCCTTTCATTGCTTGTACCCATGATTTGCGCCTCCTAGCTTTTCATGTTCGGTGGCAATTTCTCCCTCACTCTTCTCGTCACGTTCTTTTTTTATAAAAGGGACAAAAAGCAAAATCTGATCTCTCAATAAAGTAATTCATTCTGCGTCTACATTGTGAATAACTTCAAGTTTCTGGGGGAAACCTTTTCATGTTGTTTACTAGTCCATAGTTTTCAGTTTTTTAGCTTAGCTTTTCGCTACTTTGGAGCTCCTGTCTGTATTTTATAACACGTAGCTTTCCTTCCTCAGTCTTTGTCAGCCTGTGTTCACTCTTAACCAAACCTTTAATCTGTCTTCAAAGGATATCACAGTGTTTTACAATTTTAACCTTAACATTCACAAATAATAAGGCTAACATTTAGCTGTCTTCCTGGTAAAGTTGACCTGTTTGCTAACTATGTGTTATCTACCTATATTGGCAACTTACTTTTAGCTGACAGATATAACATTAAACTATTTTTGGCTAAGTAATGTTTTTTTTTTTTTGTATTAATGTCTCTTTAACTCCATGAATTTTTACCTTGTTTTTATTTATAACCTGGTTTTAGCATATTTTAGCATTTCAAATATAATATAATGTAATAGTATAGAACATTACAGTTTATTAGTTATTTAAATTTTTATTATATAACTAATACATTGAATTTGTAAACTCGTTCATCCTAGATTTCATAAGAACCAAAGGCATTATAGTTTATGTCTCCATTGCTGACTCAGTGTATAGCTTGTGACCGTTGCGACAGGACTCATATCAACGCCTTCACCACTATCCCAGGGTTTCCATCCTTTAGAGAAGATGCTGACTGCTCCTCTCTTTTCCGCTGCCAAAGCATTTCTATCCCTGCTGCTCATCTCCAGAACGTCATTCATTATCTGATTTGTGACTTGGGGCGGGGGATGTTTTAATGTTTGAATGTTCCATGATGTAATGCATGTTTGCGTTTTGTTTTTATCTTCTGTTTTCCAGCAAATGTTACAACCTAACTTAACAACTTAACTCCAAACAAATGCAATGATATGCCTACATTTTTTGCTCTCCTTGTTATTTTCTACCAGCTACTGTTACATATCATTACATATGAATCATTACATTACATTACATATGAATCATCTTTATTTCTACGCTTGTTGTGCGGCCCGCCCTCACCTAAAAGTTAAGATTTTTCCATAATGCAATCACGGCTTCATCAAATAGACCTTTTTGCTTTTTAAGCTGTAACTGGATTTGGTTTATTATAATATTCAAACAGTGAGTCAGGTCAGTGAAACCTTAATGTTGGAACTTGGAAGCTGAAAAAGGTTCTGCTTTGGGGTATTAAGAAATGTGTATTTTAAAAGGCAAAAGAGAAAAATGTTTTTTATCTAAAAATGACTGACTAAACATTGACTTTGTTTTATTTTTGTATATCTTGACATTTGTACTTGTGAAGAAAGATTTAGAGGTCAAAAACTCTCTGCATTTTGTTTCCAGGGGAAGGAGGAAAGCTGATGAACTCCAACCAAGATTCTACTGATCGCAGGGCCACCCTCCCCGGCACACATGACCCCGTGGTGGAGCGAGAGCTTCGCACTCTAGGCTCTCGCCCTCCAGGGACATATATGGATCCCACAAACCTTGCCAGGCAAGCTCTCGGTGGCGGTCCCGCCATCAAAGGGACCCCGCCTGTGCGTCACCTGGGTGTGGAACCACTGATCCGAGCATCTCATGCTAACCTGGCACGGCCTGTTCAGGGTTCAGAGGAAAGTGTTTCTGTAGGCAGCGACTACTACGGCAGCATGTTCAGCCTCTACAGAGGGAGAACATTTTCTATGCCATTATAGTTGACAGCTTTTTATTCCTCCATTGAGGCAAGAAAACAAAAATGACTGGACACAAACCCTAAAACTGACACTTTATCCTGCGTAAACCTAACTTGCAAAAAAAGTTTTTTTGAATTTTAAAAATGTCAAATTATTGTCCGTTTTTGTTGTTTTCATCTTCATTTATTTATTTCCAATTTCAATGTCACACCTTCCTTTGACTCAATGTGATTTGATTTCCTAATTTATTATTGTCATTTTTAATGTAGGGGCTTGAAATGAGTTGTGGTGACTCTTTTACACATGCATGTTTTCTAACATTTGAATCAGTCTTTGTGCTGGGTTTGCTGTGGGATGCATGATTTTCACTTTTTTAGGCTATTGTTAGCACAATTGTTCTCATAAAAGCTATTGATTGTGTGATTTTTCTTTCCTTTTATGAGGCATGGTATTTTCCTGCATTTGAAATCTTAGTTTCTTAACTTAGGAATCATTATTGCATTCCTTCTGCTGTTGTTTGAACTCACACTGTCCAGCATCTCTGAAAGTGAGGCACTAAAGAGCACAGATCAGACACAGGACTAAAGGAACTTTCTTCTTTTACAATTCTTCAAGCCCTTTGGAAACTCCACCAGGGCTTTAACATCATCTCCCTTTAATCCTCACCCCTCTAGGACTCAAACTGTCAAGCACTCTATTGGTCAGCGGTCCACCTCTCGTGTCCCTCTGTCTTCTCCCGAGCCTCCTCTCAGTATGTGTAACCCCTACCAGGAACTGCAGAAACCCAAGCCTTTGAAAACGGATCAATCTCCTCGGGTCAGTACTTCTACTCTGACTCAAAAACTGGTTCATGCAGGACCCAAGATCTCCGACAAGGTACGTGCTTATGAGGAACGAAGAGGAAGCACGGACCCCCTAAGAGGAGCAGCTTCTAGTTTGGGGAGAGCAGCGTCCTTAGACTCGGATGATAGTGGACAAAAGACAGGAGGCCCCAACAAACAGGATGAAAGAATCCTACAGGGAGCAGCCCAGAAGCGTGTAGCATTTAAGCAACGTGCCTCCTCTCTGGAGGACAAGATCAGCTACTCCCAGAGGGTCCAGAATTATCAAAGCAAGTTCACAGAGGAGCTTCAGCGAATCAAGAAGATGGTGGTAAAGCCAAGCTTGAAGAAGGCATACTCCACCGAGCAGCTGTCCCAGAATGAGAGGATCCCCGTGAAAGTTGAGCCCATTCCTCCTCAAGTAGTTAAAAAGTTGGAGGCCAGGGAACGAGCCCTCGAGGAAGGGAGAGGAGGAGGCAGCAGACGGCAGGTCCACGCTACACCTAAAGATAAGGAGTTGCTGACAATGGCAAAACCAAATTTACAGGGTAGACCATTGGACACTTTAACTGGAGGACTTTCAGGGGGGATCTCTGTTGCCATGGATACACCATCAGTTCACCAGTTACCAAGGCAACCAGTGCCAACAGTCACAAGAACAAATCTGACCAGGTTTGAAGCTGATCTTTTTCCTGAAGTGTGTGTTTTTTAATACTTACATCTGATATTCCTTCATGTGTGTTTACCTTTTCCTGACATTAATAAAAATCATCATAAATGATAAATGATTTTTTATGATGATTTCATCCTTCCTACCACACTTGTTTCCAGTGTTACATAACAGATTCCGTGTCTCTTCCAGGAATAATCTACAAATCTCCTCAGTATCTGACAAAGACTTGCTAGTTACTCAGTCCTCCTCTTCCCACAACTCCTTGAGAGACCAGAGGACAAGTTCAAAGGGAGACACAGAAAGTGACATGAAAGTGGGCAGCAGGTCGCTCAGCCCAACTGGGAAGCTGGGAATCCATGGTCCACCCAAGCCCCCACGACTGAATTCGTCACCTACCCAATCGGTCAGTCCTCTCCTGAAAAGGAGGAAAGCAGAAGTAGGAAGGACAACAACGTCTCCCAACGTAAGGGTGAACATTCCTACAATCCTGGTAGAGGACGAACCCATGAGGACAGAAGGCACCAAAGACAGGACAAAGAGGAAGGAAGGAAAGGTTCGAAGGAGCAGAAGCTCTGCTCAACCCATGTCTCCCACAGAAGGTAGGACAGCTAAATAAAACCTTGGTGTCTGACCCAACCACAGAAGACAATACACAGTAAGAACTGGAGTTTCTTTTACCTCCAGGGCCTTCATCTGACGACTCCTACCAATCGGCAGATGAGGATCCCGTGGAGGCCCCAAGGTTTCAGAGGCCACTACAGGCCACAGCAGCGGCCATTGGCTCTGAGGTCACGCTCAAATGTGTCATAACGGGAAACCCACCTCCTACAGGTACAACTGAGAGACTGAGAGTAATGTGCTGTTGGTATGTCTCTATGTCTCTGTATGGAGTTTCATTTTCACATAATCGCAGAGGGAATTGGAAAACTTTGTTGTGGGAACGTTGTTTTTACTATGACTGTATTCACAGTAGAACGTGCTTCTGTCTAACAAAGAGATTAGAATCAGCGCCAAAGTCAAGGCCTGGGTTTCGCCAAATCATGTGAGCCCTAAAATAGTTTTAGGGAAAAACGTTGTATATTAAAGTGAAAGTCACTAGATGTCACTAGATTAATCTCATACTCATACAGTGTTTTGTACAGATAATAAAAAATATTAATAAATATTGCCAGGCCTATATCGGTTTCTGTTGATATCGGAATTGGAAATTAAGTGTTTGAACAATACCGGGATATCGGATATAGGCAAAAAGTTAATATCAGACATCCCTTTTAAGCTAATATTTAAAGGCGTTCAGGTTAATTTAATTGCTTATACTGTAAAGGCACAAATCTTCCAACGAGTCTTCCTCCCTTATACCTCAAAAACTACTGACGTAGTTGACCTACTTAAAACTATACTAGAATGCTGTATTGGATTATTGTGTTTGAGTACTGGTATGAGTATTTAAATGAAGTATTTGGCCCAGTACTGGCACAAATGTAGGTGATTTGATGTTAACTTAAAATCAGTTCAGATTAAACCTTTAGCTAGGAAAAGATTTACTCAATTCAATCCAAAAACAAAGCTGGCTGTATCTATAACAAAGATCTTGAACCAGCTAGCTATATATATTTTAAATGATTATTGAAATGTTTTGCAAATAACTAAGAAATAGAATTTATAAACTAAATATAAACTAATACCAAAATTAGCTCTGGAATATACTTAATAGTTAAGATATTTTTTGTTTGTCTTAATATATAATACAACCAAATGCCAGGAGATTTAGCTGCTTTGTTCAAATTTCTAAAATGTGTTCCCTTACTAGTGGGATAATGCAAATTCTCTTTATGAATGCTTTTCTCTCCTCTTCAGTGATGTGGAGGAAGGATGACATGGAGATAAGCCATGATGCCGGCCATGTGTTGAAGGCGTCAGGCGAGGAGCACAGTCTTGTGATAAAGCAGATGAGTCTCAATGACGTTGGGTCGTATGGCGTCACAGCAGTCAGTGCAGCGGGCAGAGCGTTCTGTAGTACTGCACTTAACGTCCAACCAGGTGAGACTAGACAGTCAGCCCAGTGGCTGTTGATGCTTTAAGATTGGATTAATTTAATTTAATTGAACACACTGAGAATACACAGTGTGTTAAATTAAATTAAATTAATAATACTAAATACATGAAATGAAGAAAACTTACATTTACTGGTTAAATAGTCAAACAATACAAAATAAAATATAATATTAAATTCTATATATAAGAATAATATAGATATCTTAAGGGTCTATATCTATAAGGGTCCACAAAAACCTGTCAAAGCATCAGAAATGGCCCAGTGGTCAAGTTGTTCTCTAGGTCCTTGCTTGTGAGATGAATAATGTTAGTGGGCTGGATTTGGCCCCAGGAACCTTATTTTTTCCCCCACACGTGAACGAAGAAGGCAGAGATTTAAAAAATGCTCTCCACAGTAATTCAGCTGGTTTTAAATCACGGCCTGCGCCTCCTCCACCTCCTCCTTGTCTTCCTTCTGACTCCTACTGCTTGAATTGGCTGGAGCTCAGCATCCTCAACTGGGGCTTTAGCCAACCTCTGTTGCCATGGCAACTCCTTAATTCTTAAGGAAAGTAGCTTTACAACTGCTTTTGTTAGAGATACCAAAATACAGATAGATGCCATGAAAAAAAACAAAACAAAACACTGACAAAACATTTATAACGTGCCTGTGTTTATTACGTGGTGTGTTTTTCAGGTTGTGCTGCTCCATCTCAAAGACCGTGTGTAGCAGCCGTGTGTTGCCATATTAGGCCTGTCTGAGGAGTCTGAGGAGTATTTTTAGCTCGTCCCTCTTGTTCTTTTGGCTAATTGCAGTCTGCTTTGTGTCCCTGTGTAAAAACTGCTGCTGCTGCTGCTGCTGTGCTTATGGTATTTCTGTAATTTTATCTCTGTCAAGATTTCTTGTTACAGATTTAGTATGCGCTGAGGGCATGAAAAATGTAGTCATAGATCTTGTGAGTCATTTAAGCTCCTGTAGCTGAGAGGATTTTTAGCACATTGAGGAGAAAAAAAGGAGGAAGGGACAATGGGGGTCGTAGTGATATTTTTTTCTGTCTGCCCAGGAATCTTCAGAAAATGTATGAATGTTAAAGTTAAGTTCAAACCATCAAGGGTGTTCAAGCCATGGCCCTGGGATTAAAAGTGGCTTGTAAACAGTTTTCAGGGGCTTCTGACCTTAACTCCAAACTCTAAATTTTTTTGGAAATGTATACGTGTTATCTAACTTTAAACCCATTTTGAAGTTTCTTGAATTGCAATAATAATTAAATAATTACTAAAATCAGTAAAAAAAAACATTTTACTTTTTGCTATGTTTTAGCAGTCCTTCTGTTTTAGTTAGTCCTTCAAACTTTCCGGTCTCCCTGAGCTCTGGTTATTAGTTGCATTTGTTTGATAGAAATTTAAGTTTACTTTTCACATTTGCCCTTTTTTGTAAACTCATTCGAGTATTTTCGGTGGGACAACAGATTGCTAAACTATTATGGGCATATTTATTTACCCATTATTTTTATTTGGTTTAGCTACTTCACCATGTGACTATTTTTTGTTACAGTACTTATTGATGTTTTTGCTTGTTCGCTGTTTTTTACTGAGCTATTCCTGTTAGCATACCCATCTAGTTAACAAACAAAAAGCTTATGTCTGCAAGGAGGTTTTTTTATGGGGTTTTTTTTGTTCTAACTTTGAGCTACTGTGCAAAGCTGTTATGCATATTTTGCTAGCTTTTTATTTGTCTGTCTTAAAATCAAGCTGATCCAAATGAAAGATAGCTAACTTTGATAGCACGTATCTTCTATGCTTCACAATTATTGACGTGTTTTCTAAAAATCAGTTTTAAAGGGGAATGTATCATCTGTATGACACATCTGATTACACAGTCAAAAACCACAGAAAGTACAGTCAGCTTTTGTGTATTTTTACACAAAAGCTGACTGTACTAAATAGACTCGGGCTTCTGTGGTCTTAGAGAACCTGTACATGGCAGTGATAGGAAGCAGAGGAGAGAATAGAGATGTTAGTTGTGTAAGAGTTGGCAGGTTTATGTAAACGCTGCCTGGAATCATCCCTTGGAGCAGGCGCTGCTGCTAAAACATGTCACACTGTAAGTTTGCTCTTTCCGTTTTTTCACTGTATTTACTGTAGCCTAGGTAAAGGATAGCAGACAAATAACATTTTAAAGTTGAAACCTAAACATAATTATTTTTTGTCTCTGAATACCTTTTTTTCTGTTTATGTTTCTACCGTTCTCTTGTTGGACTAGGGCTTGTCTTAAAGGCACAGATCAGGAATTTGTACCAGGGACCTGGTTGCATCAATGACTAAACTAAAACACATTTTTGTTTATTTGGCGAAGAGCTCACTGATGCCAGTGTTACTGAATTAACTATTCTGGTCCAAATGTTGGTGTTTCAAGTTGAATTTTAGTTAAGTTGTCATCTTGACCTTTGTATGCTAACTGGTTTCTTTTTAGCTTTTTGGAATAGCTAGTATTTCTGACCTTACTCTGAAAAGTATGCATTTACTTTAGCTTTTATAGTTACAGCTGGGCTGTTGTTAAGCTATTTTAATCATGAGTTTTAGTTGTTTTGTTTTTTTACCTTTAGACACATTTTTACACCTTGGTTAAAGTATTTATCTGAACTATATCTGAGCTATAATTTATTTTCTATTTTGAACAATAAAACTAGACTTTTAAAAAATAAATTCTTAAAATGACTTTCAACCATTTTTCTATTTTAGGTTTGAATTTAGTTCGAATTTAGATTTGTTAACTACTGTAAACTTAAACCTTTTTTTGTAAAACATTTTTACTAGGTACATAATAAAGAGAAAGGTGAGGTTAGTTGTTAGGTTTGTCATTTCATTTTAAAATGTTTAATACAACACAAAGAACAATTAATTAATAATAAATTATACAAATGAAAATGAATTTAACCTAAAGTAGTGATAATGGTAAATTAAAAAAAAAAGTTTCCCTCAATTTAGGTAGACTATATTACAAGGACACAGAATAGGATACAGCTGTTTAAACAAGGTTTGGTAAATTGTATGTTGGGTTTTAAAATACACTCCTATATATTATATATATATACATATATATATGGCAAAATAAAACTAATCTCTTTTTTGTTGGTGTTTTTGTTTGAGGAGTTTTACATTTAATATCAATTAAATATCAATTTATCTAAGTTTCAAAAACTGGGTCTTTTTTCAGTCTCTCTGCAGTGTTATCTGCTAATACCAGATATGTGGGTTTCAAACATTCTCCAAAAGACGGTCTGTCTGGGAATTCAGGGATAATTGGGTGAGGGATTAAGAGATCAATTCATTATCTGTTCAGTTACGGTCACTAAAATACACTCCTGTGTTGACAGTGGAGGTGGTGAGTTAGGGTTGAACAGACACAGACCATTTCAGCGTTTCACAGCTGCCAAGGTCTCATCTCCAAAAACAACAAACAAGGAACGGTAAACATTTGAGCTTTGACATACTGTCAACATTTGACAGTTTAATCACCCACCCTGCCCCTGTGTTTGCCATAAGTCTAACAGATTTACCTTTAATTACTCAAAGTAAAGAGCGTAGAAATTGGAGTCAACGTCTTCATAAACCCAGGGGAGAGGAAATTAGCTGTAGCAGAACCGGGGGTTTAATCTACTTAACATCCAGGGAAACATCACTTTCTGTTTTTCTCCAGAGTGGACCTACAACACGCAGCATGGAAAACCAGCACTTTCCCTGGACATAAGCAGTCCAATCCAGTCAGATGAGGAGTACCTGAGTCCACAGGAGGAGGCCATGGAGGTTACGCTCTCAACAACTGCTCTGACACCCAGTGTCTTGCTGAGAGAGGCCCCCTCCTTTGAGGTAGGAGCATAACCAAAGTGTGTTGTAGTTTTCACATATAGACTTAATTTAACCTTGAGACAGAAAACAGGTTCTAGAGATAAGAGGTTAATGAATGTTGATGGAATTAGTTTTGTCTGAATATATCAAGTTTTGTAGTATTTGAGTCGTTTGGGTGACCTGTGTCCAGAGTCTGCATCTTCATTCATTCTTAGGTGTACTGAACTATACTCTTGTAGAAATAAACAACCCAGAATGCAACCTGTTGGTATATTGTAAATATTGTGAGGACTTAACAATTTCAGCTTCTCAATTTATAGCCATATGTGTGTGACCTATCAAGTTAGCAGGGTAAGTCGATCATTCCTGTAGATCTGAACCACTGCTATCTGCTAGATGGTGATTAAAAATGTTAACTGACCTACCAAGACCAGTGGTCTAGTTTTAAACTATTATAGATCTAAGTCACTGGGTTTGTGGGTGGACATGGTAAAGAACCTGGCAAGTCATGTTGTCTAGATCTTCATTTTTGTACCTTTCTGATTGTTGCTGACCACCTTGTTAACCTTACGTCCTAATTCTCACTATCGTACAACTATATTTTCATAGATTCAGTGTGAACCACTGAACCTGCTGAGTCATGGTAAACAAGCCTAATTACCCAAACTTCTCTGATGTAGCTAGGCTGCAAGAGTGGCAATGTTACTGCGAAGTGACCTACCAAGACCCAGGTCTCTAAAAGCTTCCAGTCAATTGATTTATGTTTTTTAATGGTCTCTTAAGTCCTTGAAGACAATGGACATTTGGCTGAACATGAGTTCAGACACTCACTGTAAATAAATGATTTCCTTATCAACAACATTTTCTTTTGATGCAATAATGAGATCTCGTGGTGCAGGTGGTGCCGTGTGATCAGGAGATAAGTGAGGGTGATGACATTGTTGTCTCCGTCAAAGTCAAAGGACAACCAAAGCCCATGACCTACTGGTAAGACTTGATGTGTTTTCTTTTTTTTTGTCTTTGCTGCTCCCTCTGTCCTATTGCTGAGATCAAACCACTGTGACATTGTTTTGACCCAGGTCAAAGGATGGAGTCGCAGCAAAGACAGCAGGACGTTTCACTCTGCGAGAGACTCATGATGGAGCTGAAGAACTGAGAATCAGTCCAGGTCAGACGTCAGATTCTGGGCTTTACATGTGCAAAATCATCAACGAATATGGAAGCAGGCAGGCGGAGTTCAGGGTGGAGGTTACAGGTGCATTATGGAGAATTTCAACTCTACATGTTATTCAAGTCATACTAAAGTGATGTGTAACAGTTTTTGTATTGACAAAATTGCAGCCCAGACATCACTGAAAATCACCAGAGAGGTCAACAACATGTCAGCAAGGGCTGGAGAGTCGGCCATGTTTGAGTGTCACATCGTCGGACCTTCAGATGTGGACGTGGACTGGCTCTCTAATGGAAAGCTGATCCAGCCAGCGCTCCTCAACTGTAAGATGCACTTTGATGGGAAAAGGTAAATCTGCTGTTCTTTGTGATCAGTTTACATCTACCACCAGCGCTGGGGGAAAAGACCTTAATAAATATCATATTCATTTTAATATAAATAGTTCAACATTGGCCATAAAAAAATATAATAATTAGTAAAAAAAAAAAAAAAACGTGGCTAATATGTAGCTCTGAAATAGCTAAAGCTTTAAAAACAGCTTTAAAACAGCTTGGACGCTAGCATTATGATCACATAAAAATGATTAAAAGTAGCCCAGTCCCATGTGAAGGCTGCATAAAAATACATTGTAAAACTTGGCAAAATGACTTTGTAGTCTACTACTGCCCAGAGATAAAGGAAAGGCAAAAATATTGAAAGTGCCAAAGATATTTTAAAAACACCATTATTATCTTGTCAGGAGGAAAACAAGTTAGACTTTACTAAGACACAAGTGAATTTTAAATTTAGTTGGCAAGTTTTACAAAGAGTTGTCTGTGGTGGTCAGTTAAATGTTTGATTCAACACTAAGTTAAACACTGAAATATACAGTATATCCGTGGTGGGCCTGTTCCTCTAATAAAACCTGTGTTTTCATTTCAGGTGTCGGCTACTTCTAAACTCAGTTCATGAGGATGACAGTGGGACGTACACATGCAAGCTAAGCACTGCCAAAGGTGGGAAACAAACTCTGATTCTTTTGTTAAAGTTCAGCTGGAAAATGTAGACAGTCGTGCTTGTTTGTTTTAGCCGTTCAAGGAGCCAGTGTTTTTTTTCCATGAACTCACTTTGTCCCTTTTTTTTAAATATTGCAGAATATAAAGATGACAGTACTTTTCAGACAGAGTGCATTTACAAAATATTTCTAAATGACATGAATAACCCCAGGTATCATAAATACAGTAGATTTGTTGCTAATTAAACAGGTGTATTGTACAATCTTGTCTTAAATGTATAAGGATAATATAAGGATACTTTTTTTGCTTTGTTTAATTTCAATTTTGCCTTAATCGCCTCTGGTTTTTTAACTTAGCTTTAACTTTTAGTAACTTTGCTTTATTTTAAGGATACATTTCAGGTGAACTAAGGTAAAATTTTGTCATATGTCATTTTAGTGGAATTCACACTCAGCAATTTTAAAATGATTAAATCTATCACTGTTAAAAATATTTTTATAACATTCTTGATGTCTCTGTCAACATATTTTTCCTGATTATATTTGCATTTGCAGAGGAATTGACTTCTAGTGCAAATCTACAAGTCACTCCATCCAAAGAACCTCTCTTCACCCGTAAACTGGACATCCTGGAGGTCATTGAAGGTCGCACAGCGCGGTTCAACTGTAAGGTGAGCGGCTCGCCACCTCCCCAGGTCACATGGATGCATTTTGGTAAGAATCTCAATCCTGCCACTTACAAAAGATTACAGTAGTACAGTTACTGCAGTACGAACAGTTTGACTGAATTAACAGAGACGAGAGTGGAAGAGAGTGACAACGTTCACATCCTACAAGAGGGAGGACGCCACTCGCTTGTCATCAACCACGTCAGCAGTGACACCGAGGGCTTCTACACAGCCATCGGCCAAAATATCTATGGAAAGTCTGAGTGCACTGCTGAGCTCTATGTGCAGGAATCCAGAGCTGCAATTTCTTCTCACATGTAAAACACTTACTAAAGGATATATATTTTGTTTAACGGCAAAAAGCATTCTTTAGAATATTTTTTTCAAAGACCCTCCCTCTCTCCAGGGCCAAGTTAGAAAAGATGCCATCCATCCCAGAGGAGCCTGAAGGTATGGAAAGTGAAGTGGAGAAGAGAACCATGCCAGACTTTGTAACACCATTAGCTGACATTGAGGTCATCGAGGGAAAAGAGGCAGTGCTGGAATGCAAAGTGGCCGGCCTGCCATACCCAACCATCGCCTGGTACCACAACGGCAAACGCATCGAGAGCAGTGAAGAATGTAAAAAGACCCAGTGTAAGCAACGAAGTGCAGGGAAAACAAAGTCAAGGTGTTTTTGAGAATGTCGGAGCAGGCAAACGAACTTGTCCATTTCTTCTTCAGACGGAGATGTCCACCATCTGGTCATCCGGACCACCTGTCATTCTCATGGAGGTGTCTACAAAGCTGTCATCTCCAACAAAGTGGGAAAGGCAACTTGCTATGCACATCTCTACGTCACAGGTCGGTCATGTTGAGTGTGTCCATGTGGGCTACACCCAAATCACCCATACGGTATAGGGTACATGATTTCCCATGTAAACAGATGTGCTTCCAGTCTGAGATAGACTCAGTGTGAAACTCAAGGCCCACAGGCCAAATGGAGGAACTTCAACAGCAGTGAATTGCCTTATCATAAAATCTAAATTGACCATAACTTACTAAGTAAATATTTACATGAAACTACAACAATGCATTTCATGATGATGAGCGCTCTATGAACAGATATCTACTGGGTGTGTTCATCATCTCATCAACTTCCTTTAAAACCTGACTCATATAGTTCTGAACTGAGATAGCTGTGTTTTCTAAATTAATTTTGTCCTTGTCTTTTTTTTTTTTTTTTGGGGGTGGAAGCTCTAACTGTCAAGAATATGCATGTATATTTACTGTATGAATCTATTATCTCCAAACAGATATAGTTCCTGATGCTCCCGATGGTCCTCCAGTGATTGACGCCATTACAGGGAAAACCATAAGTCTCAGCTGGAAGAAACCTAAGAGGGCTGATCCTTCATTTGGTAGGATCAGTTCAATTTTGAAAACATGAACCCAGTCACTTTTATGAGGTTTTGTAACCTAAGACCTCTTGTGTCTGCAGACACCTGCGCATTGCTTTATGTGGTCCAGCAGCAGCCTCTGGGCTCCACCCAGTGGACGGTCATCGCCACCAACCTGAAGGAGACCAACTATACAGTCACCTCCCTGTCCAAAGGGGTGCGCTATGCCTTCAGGGTGTTGACGTCCACTGGCAAAACCCAGAGTAGGCCTTCACCCTCCACGGATTTGGTCCAGCTACTGGACAGAGGTTTGTCACTTAATCTGATGTAGGAAGTACAAAGTTTGTGTAGTTTTTGAAGTTTTTCCTGTTCTTGTTGAACTCTTTAGGACCTTATCTGAGGAAGGCTCCAGTCTTTTTGGACAAACCAGACGTGGTGTATGTTGTAGAGAACCAGCCAGCCAGCATCACCGTGACGTTAAATCATGTACAAGCAGTTGTCACCTGGAAACGGTACGTATTTAGAGAGCTGTGAAAAAACACAGCCGGTTGGGGTGATAAAGGGTAGAGAATTACTGAGAAACTGTCTATTAGATGCATTAGATTTATATTAATATTAGATATTTGAGTACTTTAACTTGTTTTGTATTTGTGTCTGAAACACCTTTTATTCAAAATAGGGTTAAACCTTAATGGCTGCAAAGTCTGAGTCAGAGTTATCTGTAACTGCAGCATTCTCCTGCTGTCTTCCTCAGGAGAGGAGTGGCCCTGGCCAGCAAACCAGGAATGTATGAGATGTCCATGCCAGATGACGACCAACACACGCTGAAACTTCAACGGGTTAAAAGCGCAGACCTCGGCCAGCTAGTGGTAATGGCCAGCAACCAGTTTGGCAGTGATCTCTGCACACTTCAGCTGACCATGGCAGGTCTGTGCAGCAAAGTATCCATGCGCTGTGTGTGTGTGTGTGTGT